AAATATAAGTACTATCTGGTTATATATTATTACAATCTTTCAGAATGCTACTTTCTAATTACTTTACAATCTTTCTGTATTAACTCCTCTGCAGCATTTAAGCATGTTGTATATATCATTTTTCTCTGTATAATTTACATTAAACAAATCAAAACAGGAATTGCAATACACAAATGTTTAAGAAGTTAAGGAAAAAGGATATAATTTATGTTAATTTAACATTTTGTATAATGTTTTTTTTTAATAAAACAGAACAATAGAATGTTTTATAATATATTGGCTACCTGATGATAAATCAGCATATCTTTTTGAACCACTTTTCCTCCTTTTCACCATGAATCTTCATTAAAAACCTATGCTTAAGTTTTTTCCCCAACTAAAAAAATGAGCAATTGTTAGGGCAGGGAATTCATTTTGCTTTGTTAATTAAGCTCAACAAACATATTTTTTAATTCTGTAACAGTTAACAGATGTCTTCTTCCTTCTACAACCTTCACTAAAAATTAAAAACATTTGAATCAGCCAACTGATTGAAAACATCTTTTCTGAACCGTAATTGGACCCTTCAGAGCTTCTTCTTTGCCTTTTCTTAAGTCTCTATTTTTTTCTTAATTCTGCTTCAAACTCTTATTTCATTTGCCATAGGCCCCATAAAACATCATATCATTTGTGATTTTTTTCAAGTTTTTCTACCCTTTTTCTTTCTAGCTCATCTTTTTTTCCTAAATTCTTCTTCTCTGTTTTCAATCCCCTTTTCTCCAGTATCATTTCCCTCTCCTTAAAACCTTTGCCTTTCCAAATTGACCTCTCTTCTACACTGTTTTATAATATCATTTTTATGTTTATCTTGACCTTTCAACCATTCATTTGTTTTATTTAGAGAAAAAGTTATATGTGACTCGAGTGCTAAATTTTTATGTTTGGTTTTGTAAGATAATATGTGGTCTTAAATATGAAAAAAAACTCTTTCTGGAAATTTATTATGTTTATCAACACTGCTTACTTCTCTTTCATTTAAGTTCTCATGAATTCCACCTTGTAAATGATCCTTATACTGTTTTGTGATTAATTTTAATAATGCAGGTAAGATAACTAAAAGAATAGTTTCAACATGCCCATCTATCTCACTTTCTTTAACTAAAACTTTCATACACTCTTTGTCTTTTTTCACAAATTTAAAAATTTTAAAAAGTGTTTTTTCCTTTTTAAAAACATCTAAATTTAACTTCAGTCTTGAAAAAATTTTTTAATAAAAATATCTTTAAAATTTATTTAGAATTGGGAAATTTTTTTTCGATTTTAATACAAAAGCCAAAAAAGGGGTTAAATGAATTTTTGAATTCAAAATAAAAGCTTTAAAATAGGAAAAAGAAAAGGGTCTTTTAAAACAAAAAAAAAAAAAAGACGCATTTGACTTAGGGTTTTCAACCCAAAAAATCCTTTTTATTGTTTTGTAAAAGGGATAACATTCCGATTAAAGGGGAATTTAAAAAGTTTAAAAAAAAATTTTTTCCCAAAGGGTTAAAAGGTACAAACTTGCAATTTTTTCAAATTTTTTGAATGATTAAAAATTTTTTAAAAATTTCCCTAGCAAAACCCTTTTTTTATTCCTCTTTTAGCAAAAATTTAAAAGCGTTAAAATAACCCGTAAAATTTCCCGAAATTTAACCCGAAATTTTAAAAAATTGGGTTTTTGGGTAGGAAAATTTTTTTTTTTAAAAAGCAAAAATTTTCTACTTATTTAAAAAAGTTTTTTTACATGTTATAAACCAAAATTTAAAAAAAAATGGGTCCAAAAAAATTATTTATTTCCATCAAAATTTTTCTTTTGGAAATTTTTATTTTGTTTTGTAAATTTTCATTTTTTTTGGGAAAATTTTTTTGAGTTTTCTAAAAATTTATTAAATTTTTATTTCAGAAGGGTGCTTTCCATTTGTTTTTTTATATTGTTAAAATTTTTTTTGGCCCCCCCCAAAAATTGATTAAAAACTTCACTTGCCTAAAATTTAAAAATTTATAAATTTTCTTTGAAAATAAAAACTAATTTGTATTACCCTTTATTTTGTTGCAAAAATTTAATTTTTAATCCTTAAAAAAATTTATAAATTGCCACTGTCAATCTCTTAGTTGGCAAAAGCCCCCACCTACTTCCATATTTTGATGTTCTTGTATGTTCATCAAAAATATTCTTGTTGAATTTTCTGTAGTGACTGACTATTTGCCTATAAACAACATATATGAAAAGATTCTTGTTGAATTTTTGAAGTTTTAATGAATCAATATTTTCATTTAAATGCCTAATTCTTTCAATTGTTTTCTTCATGTAATGTCTTAAGCCTAGTAATTTCATCAAGGAATCTAGTAACATCTTTTTCTGTATATTTTAAGTCATTTTCAGATTGTTCCAGCTTTCTATACTTTTCACGCCAATAATTTTCTCTACTACATGTCCTTTTCAAATCTTTTTTTTGTAAATTAATTTTTTTAACTTTTTCTCAACTTTTGAATTCAACTCATTTGTATATGTGATACAGATGCATTCAGTTTAAAATTTTCTTCTTTCACTTCTGTCAATTCCTCCATCAGGCTACAAGTTTGTTTTAAAAATAAATAAAAATTGAGGTTTTCTTTTTTTAAAAAAAATGTAACATGATCTTTTTAAATAAATTTGGTCACTGTTAGTATTAAATTCCCAATTCTTTAACTTGTAAATATAAGTAATATCTGATCAGATTGTTAACTTTTGTTAATAGTGAAATATTATTTAAAGTCTATTATACTATTATTTAGGACTGTCAGAACTTTGATGACAATTTGTATTAATATAAGTAGAGCAGTATTACCTAAATTTATTGATATCCAAATTGTGAATCAATATTGACTTAATGAATGCTGAATATCTGTTAATATCTATCAATAAACTGATATTCAAAGACAACACTACATGTATTTATTAAATTTGTTACTTTCCAAAAATTTTTAAATGTTTATTACATATAAAAAAAGCATAACAGTGTTGCAAAATGAAAGTGATAAAAAAATGGACGCACAATTTAAAACCCTTTTAATATATAATAATGAAAAGAAATAAGCTTTTTTTAGTAAAGCTACATAACTTCACTGCAACTGTTTTGTAAGACATAGCTAGCAATTAGGATTAACTTTTGGGATGAAAAAGGGGCAAGTTTGGGTTTAAAATTAAAATTCACTTTTTTTTAGCTGAAAACAAAAATTTTTAAATCCCCCTGAGGCCCTTTTATACTTTTTTTTTAAAATTTTCTAATTAATTTTACTTTCCAAAAAGGTTCAGTTTTTTTAATTGGATCTTTTTTATTAAACTTCAAATGTTTTGATGGGATTTTTAGTCAAATTGAATTCCAAAAAGTTTTTTTTAAAAACTTAAAAATTTTAAAACCAATTTTATTCTTCAAAAATATCCCCCATTATTTAAAGAAAACCAAAGACCAAAATTTTAAAACAAGAAAAAAAAAAAAAAACTTTTCTTAAGAAAAAAAGGGGGAAGTAAAAACACTGGCAAACAACAAACTTTTAAACAACTTTTTAATGAATAAATGGAAAAAAAAAAAAAACAAAAAATAAGAAAAATGAAAAAAAGAGGGTATTTGGGACTTTATTTTTTAAAAAAAATGGGGTTTTAAATTAGTTTCAATTAAGATCCAATTAAGTAAGGGTTAAGTTAAAGTTATAAAGCTAAAGGTAAAAAATTGCCAAAACATATAATGGGCAATTACTTTTTTTTGTCATGGGGATAAAATTTTTAAATTATTGTTTTTAAAAATCAAAAATTTTTGAACAACATGTTGATTTTTAAATTGGGAAAACCCTGCACAAAACCCCAAAAAAGCCCTATTGAAGTTATGTCATTAAAAGCCAAAACAGACCCCAAAAAAACAAAACTACCCACCTGGGCCCCTAGGGAAAATAAAATATCATATGCATATTGATTTAAATTTGGGCTGTCTAATTATTACTTATAAAATTATAAATATCTTTAAAACAGAAAAAATACCAAAAGGGATTTCAGGTTTTTTTCATAATTAAAGTATAGTAAATTTTTCTTTTTATTTTAAAATATTCTTTTTAAATTAAAGCAATAAAAAAATTTAAAAGGATTTTTTTTGATCATAAAAAAGTTCCAAAAAATAAAAAAAATTCAAAATTTTTAAAACAATTAAAGATAAAAAGCTAATATAAAATTTAAAAAAAATTTTAAAATTTTTAAAAAATGGGAAAAAAGGGCTAAAATTGATTAAAATTTAAAAACCTTCACAATTTTTTTCAAATTTTGGGTTTTCTTTTTTTACATTTGGAAAAATTTTTTTTTGCAAGAGAAAAAAAATTTAAGTTTTTAATTTTTTTAATTTTATTATTTACCCATTTAAATCTTTTTCTTCGGTTTTGTTTTTTAAAATTTTGCAAGGGAGGGGCATTTTTTAATGGGGGGGTTCGAGTTATCGATCGCTTGAATTTGGGAAAAAATAAACCCTTTGGAAAAGAATGGTTGGGTTTTTAAAAATTCATTGTCCTAGAAACGACATCCGAAATAAACTAGATAAAAATAATGATTGAATGTCATACTATTTATATTTTATGAAAAACGAAATGTCAAGGACTGGGGAACCAGTTGGGAAAAAACAGATAGCCCGATAACTATTTTTAACTTCATCCGGGTCAGCGTTCTGCCTCAGTAACGCCCGGATGACAACATTAATGGGTGACGTAATATTTCAAAATGGCGGAATTTTACCGGATATCGGATGGCACATGGATGAAACAAATTTATTTTTTTATAATAAATATCTGTTTTCATATTAAATTAACACACGGGGTAAATAGAGAAATGAAATTTGCATCAAAAATAGAAGAAAGCATACCTGTGTTATGCTTTATCCTTTACAAAATCGTCGTCGAAAATGACCGTGTTTACCCGTTGTACAGAATAGCGACTAATATATTTACGAATACCGTTGTGGTCGCTAACACTGGTACAGACAAGCAACGGTACAGTTTCCTTTTAACAGTTTTTAAAAGCCTTATTCTCGAATTTATATCAAACTCAAATTAACCTTGACTCGTGTATGTTCTTGAGGGGCAAATTTTAGAATTTTCACTAAATATTTGTGCAGAACTCATGTTTCATCCTTCTCAGTTTAAGGTCAAGTATGAACATAGTCATTTAAAATCTTAATATTTAAAAAAAAATATTCAAGGGAGAATAGTACTTTAATAGTATTCATTAAAGGAAGAGTACTCTGAGTGGTTGAAAGCTCAATATGGATTTTTAGCTCACCTGAGCTAGCTCAGAGTGAGCTTTTAGGATGGTTGAATGTCCGTCGTATGTCGTCCGTCATCCCTACACACTTGTTCGTTAACACTCTAGCGGTCACATGTTTGCCTCAATCATCATCAAACTTTGTCAGGATGCTTATCTAGTTGATAGCTCGGATGAGTTTTAACATGGGTCATCTTGGATGAAAAACTAAGTCATTGGAGCTAGAAATAGGAAAACCTTGTTAAGACTCTAGTGGTCACAGTTTTGCCTCAATCATCATCAAACTTGGTTAGGATGCTTGTCTAGTTGATAGCTCGGACGAGTTTGAACATGGGTCATCTCGGATGATAAACTAGGTCACCGGAGCTAAAAATAAAAAAATCTTGTTAACACTCTAGCTGTTTCATTTTTGACTTAATCATCATCAAACTTTGTCAGGATGCTTGTCTAGGTGATAGCTCAGATGAGTTCGAACATGGGTCATCTCAGATGAAAACCTAGGTCACAGGGGCTAAAAATATAAAAATCTTGTTAGCACTTTAGCGGCTACTGTTTTGATCCAAATATCCTGTAAATTGGTCTGAAAGTTTGTTTTGATGATTTCTAGGTCAGGTTCGAATATGTGTCATCTTGGATGAAAAACTAGGTCACACCGCCCAAATATGGAAAAACCTTGTTAACATTCTTGTGGTCACATTTTTAGCTCACCTGTCACATAGTGACATGGTGAGCTTTTGTGATCACTTTCAGGACGGCGTCCGTCTGTCGTGCGTCCCACGTCAGTCCGTCGTCCGTCCCACGTCCGTCCGTCGTCCATCCCACGTCCGTCCGTCGTCCGTCCTTAAACTTTTACTTTAATCGACATCTCCTCATAAACTGCTAAGCCAATTTCAACCAAACTTCACAGGAATGTTCCTTTGGTAGTCAACTTCAAAAATTGTTCAAAGAATTAAATTCTAAGCAGAACTCTGGTTGCCATGGCAACCGAAAGAAAAAACTTAAAATATCTTCTTTAAGAAAACCGAAAGAGCTAGAGCTTAAATATTTGGCATGAAACATCATCTAGTCAGTGTTTACCAAGTTTGTTCAAATAAATGCCCTGGGGTCAAAATTGGCCCCCCCAGAGGGTCATTGTTTTTCCTTTATGTATATAATAAAAACTTAAAAATCTTTTAGGAAACCAAAAGGGCTAGAGCTTAAATATTTGGTATGAAACATCATCTAGTCAGTGTCTACCAAGTTTGTTCAAATGAATGCCCTTAGGTCAAAATTGGCCCCGTCCCGGGGGGTCATTGATTTTCCTTATTTGTATATAGTTAAAACTTAAAAAAATCTTCTTTTTAAAAAGCCCAAATAGCTAAAGCTTAGATATTAAGCATGAAATATCTCCTAGTGGGTGTCTACCAAGTTTGTTCAAATAAAAGCCCTGGGGTCAAAATTAGACCCGCCCCAAGGGGTCATTGTTTTTCCCTTTATGTATATTATAGTAAAAACTTAAAAATATCTTCTTTTAGAAAACCAAAAGAGCTAGAGCTTAAATATTTAATATGAAACATCATCTGGTTAGTGTCTTCCAAGTTTGTTCAAATAAATGCCCTGCAGTCAAAATTGGCCCTGCCCGGGGGGGTCATTGATTTTTCTGATATGTACAGTGGAGCCTTGCTAATCCGAACCCTTCTAATCCAGAATCCTTTCTTATCCGAACGAAGTGTCCGGTCCCGATTTTATGCATTCTTTTTTCAAAAGCAAAAAACCTTTCGGATCCGGAACCTGTCTACTCTAAATTCCGGACGATTGTTTCAATTTTTGTTCTTATTTTACTCTAAAATTTACCTCTCGGATCCGAACAGATTTTGCCAAATGTCACACCTTCATTCAAAATAACAAATAATTGCACATCTTGCAGGTGTAAACATACACCAAACTGATAAGTGTTATTTCGCTTGATTAATGGGTGAAACGTATGATCTGCGAAGGTGTGAAAATTACACTTAGCTTGCCTTGATATCTTCTATAATTGCTTAATTGATTGTTTTTCGTCAGCTTCTATAAATATTTTGATATAATGCAAAAGAAATATCTTTTAATCCTTTGTAATGGATTCAATGATACGTGATTAAGTAATGAAAATTAATGGAAACTGTCAGTGAATTTGGATAGTCGCTGATTCGGATAAGAGTAAACAACAATTGACAAATGCTGGTACGAATATTTAATCATGTCTCGGCCTCCTGTTTAACATCGTAGGTTAACTTACGCTTGAGACATAATATTTTTGCTTATTTATTTATTTTTATTTCTTTATTTTTGTATTCACATGTATTAAAATGAAAGATAAGAGACTGCAAAAATAAAATATCTAAATTGCAATTTCAAATGCATTCCCGTCTTCTTTCCTTAAACTATTTTGCAAATAACAAGAAAAAACATGTAAAAAAACCTTCTAATTCGGAAACCTTTCTAATCCGGAAACCTTTCTAATCCGAACTTTTCTTCTGGTCCGGACGAGTTCGGATTAGACAGGTTCCACTGTATATAGTAAAAACTTAAAAAATCTTCTTTTAAAAAACCCAAATAGCAAGAGATATTAAGCATGAAATATCTTCTAGTGGTTGATTACCAAGTTTGTTCAAATAAAAGCCCTGGGGTCAAAATTGGCCTGCCCAAAGGTGGGCAGGGAGGTCAATGCTTTTCCCTATATGTGTTTTATAGTAAAAACTTAAAAAATCTTCTTACAGCTAGAGCTTAGATATTTATCATGAAACATCTTCAAATGGGTATCTACCAAGTTTATTCAAATAAAAGCCCCTGGTTTGAAATTGGCCCTGGCCCGGGGAGCCTATATACAGGTGAGCGATTTCAGGGCCATCATGGCCCTCATGTTGACTCAATTATCATCAAACTTGGTCAGGATGCTTGTCTAGATCATTGCTCAGATGAGTTTGAACATGGGTCATCTCGGATGAAAAACTAGGTCAACGGAGCTAAAAATAAAAATTTTTGTTAACACTCTAGCGGTCTAATTTTTGACTCACCTGTCATGAAAATTGGTCAGAATGCTTGTCTAAGTAATTGTTCGGATGAGTTTGATGGGTCAGGTGAGATCTAGGGCCATCTTGGCCCTCTTGTTAAAAACATTTTTTGGAGTCTAAAATTTCAATTCAGACATATACAGGATAATATATCTATCATATAATAAGAGAAACAAGAGGTACAATATGGAGCTTTACAATTTGTAAATAAGCTGTTTTGTTACAATTTCTTGTTAAAGTGAGGATATTTAATATAGAACATGTTTAAAAAAAATTCATGAATGCAAAGTCTGTTCTCTTCTTTAAAGATTTTTTGATCATTGTTACTTACAAGGTTGCATTCTGTGTGTATTGCCCTGGCTTAATTTGCTGTGCTCTTGTTTTGAATGTCAGGTTTAATGTGATGTTATGTATTGCTTATATATTGCTTGTTTTTCTAAAAAAAAAACAACATATTTACCTTTACTGAATTCTTTAAATAAACTTGACGGCCATCAATTTTGGAACTGTCTAGATGAAAATTTTACGAGTTAAGTGCCTCAATTTTGAATTTGCGTCTGAAAGAGAGTTTGGATGGCAGGGATCAAACTTGCAACCCCTGGATGTTTAGTAATACAGTGTTACCACTGTCAACTACTGCATCCATTCTATCATAGATTTATTTCACCCTTCAGCTGCTGAATTTCTTAAATTGTCTTTTCCTGATTTCTTTTCATCAATATGTTACAGGGTGAGAAAAATGTGCAGCCTGACAGGGACTCGAACCCTGGACCCTGGGAATACCGTTCTGCAATTTACCAACTGAGCTATCTCCCTAAAATTGTGGACAGTTTTGAACCATGACATACACATGCAATCCCCTCTATATTGAAATTTGTCTTTGATTTTCACAAAGTTACATAGCAATGTAAATTAAACTCTTGAGCTATAATTATGTAGTCACAGCCCCCTGTTAGGTGCCAAATGTCACAGAATGAGAAATATGTGCAGCATGGGACCCTGGAAATACCGTATTGCGGCTCAACCCCGCTGCTTACACATTATCTCCCCTTATTTGTGAACAGTTCTGGTCCATGACAAATATTTTGGGATATCAAGATAAAAATTAAAATTCAATCAAACAAAAATTTTAGAGCCTGAGGCCAGTCTGCACAAATGTTTAGACTGGCCTTAGCTCTATACTGATGGCAATGCCTTATGAGTTTGTTTTTTTCAGCAAAAGTTAAAGGTTTAACTTAAATTCTGGCCGTATGTGGCAAATTGAAGAAACTGATGAAATAAACAAACTGTTTGTGAAATTTAAGAAGTATTGTTTCTAACTGTAAAGTAGTTAGATAATAAAAAAAGACACTAGACCACTGGTTATTTGAATAAGATATTTGGATCTCATTTGCAAAATGTATATGTAATTTAAATTAAATTACTTTTAATGTAATCTTATTCAGTTATTCTTATAAAATATATTTTATTAAGCACTGAATTGCTTTGATATGTATATACTTTGTTAATGATATATTGAAAATGAAAAAAATTATTGTGATGAAATTTTGATGATGTATGATATATATGCATGCGATAAAATAAATTTTAGCATTATACCGGAAAATAAAATAAATTTTCAGATCACTGGTAACCGAATGTTGTTTATTTTGTTTTATTAAAGTCATGATAGTACATAAAATGGAAAGCAGTTGTGTGCAGCATAGGGAGATCTTGCAGTGTTCCAAATTTCATCAAGATACCTCAAAAAAAAAAAAGTTATGACATTTTTACTGTAAGTTTAACCATATTTCTTAACGTGTCGGTTCCGCCGGCGCGGCGCGACTATTAGGCAAATAATATGCGGAAAATTCTGAAATTTCGCCATTTTCAATGAAAATTAAAATTGCATAACTTTTTTATTTCTTCATCAATTTTAAAAAGGAAAACTGTTCTGAAAAGGTCTTTTTAAGACCTTTATAATGGTTTTAATCAACTTATCATTACTGATATTTGAAAAATTAAGCTTGGGATGCTAGTTTAAGCCCTCAATAATAGTGTATTTGCAACTGCCAATAATGTTCTCTTAATCCAATTGTACCTGTTTATTGGTGACTGGTAAAGGTGGTCAGTTTTAATTGATTGATAATTGAGGATAAGGATCACAGCACAAAGTAAAGCCCCTAGCATTACTGCACAATAATTCATCCAACTAAAAATGTGACAAAATATAGGGTCACATGATCTTTTTTCACACACTCACAAGATAACAGTTAATGCCCAGTTGTTTTCATGTACATTTTGTAGTAAGTACAATTGACCAACAACATTTTGAATTTAGTTTTAGCAAATGCTTTATATGTAAGTAGCCTATTCATTCATAGGGAGATAATAAATAATAATGTTATTTACTCTCTTGTATGTTTAATGAAACAACTTTATTGTCAATTTTAGGTATTCCTGTAATGATGAATTTCAAAGTTGTCTACTTGCAAATAAATTTGTAAACACATTCACATTATATGTACTAACATAAATAGCAATTTTGTTTTTTTATTTTTTAGGTGGGTTACAAAGTGGCTTCAGAAGACAATCATTTAAGAGAGAGTGGTATAATAACCAAGAATATCTTGCAAGTTAGACATGAGGCAAAACAGACATACTTGATGTTTAATTCAGAGACTTTATCCAGTTGATGAACTGGTAAGAGGGTTTCAGAGTTTACTGCTTGTGATTCTCTTAAATATTTAATGACCTTTTGTGCCCCCATTTAAGGGGGGGGGGGGGACATTTAGATTTACCCCTGTCCGTCCGTCCATCCATCCTTTGTCCGTTCTCATTTTGTGTCTCACATAGCTCAAAAAGTATTTGACCTAGAGTCATGAAACCTTACAGTGATATTGCTCAGCACGTGAAGTTGTGCACCTGGGTATTTTCATTGGATATTTTTAGTATTTTTAGAGTTATTGCCCTTGAATAAGTAAAATTACAATTTTCAATTTGTGTCGCACATAACTCAATAAGTATTTGACATAGAGTCATGCAACCTTACAGAAATGTTGCTCAGCATGTGAAGTTGTGCACATAGGGTTTTGTTTGTGGATTTATTCCCTTGACTTCGTAAAAATTTGGAATTTTCAACTTGTGTCGCATGTAGCTCAAAAAGTTTTTAACCTAGAGTCATGAAACCTTACAGAAATATTGCTCTTTATGTGAAGTTATGCACCTGGGTATTTTCATGTGGATATATTTAGTATTTTTAGAGTTATTGCCCTTGACTTAGTAAAAATTTGCAATTTTCAACTTGTGTCGCACGTAACTAAAAAAGTATTTAAACTATAGTCATGAAACCTTACAGGAATGTTGATCAGCATGTGAGTTGTGCACCTGGGTATTTTCGTGTGGATAATTATAGTATTTTTAGAGTTATTGCCCTTGACTTAGTAAAATTTTACAATTTTTAACTTTTGTTGCACATAACTCAAAAAGTTTATGACCTGTAAGCCTGAAAGTTTACAAGAATGTTGGTCAGCATGTGTACTTATGCACCTTGGGGTTTTCTTGTGGCTTTATTCAGTTTATTGTCAATATTTGGTATACCTGTAATGATGAATTTCAAAGTTTTAAAACACATTCAGATTAAACTTGTACATCATTAATAGCAAAATGTTTTTTTTTTATTCTCAGGTGGGTTACAAAGTGGCTATGTCTAGAAGACAATTATTAGAGAGAACCAAGAATATCTTGAAAGTTTGACATGAACTAAAACAGATATTCAGAGACTTAATCCAGTTGATAAACTGGTAAGTGAAGTTTTAGAGTTTACTGAATGTTATTCTCTTTAAAGGGACTCCACTGAGGTTTTATGACATGACGGGACTGGAAACAATTTTTTAAGATTATTACTCCATTTGATGTAGATCTATATTAATAACTTATGTGCAAAATTTCAGATCATTAGCTAGTCCGTTTCTCCAGAATAATTATTATAATAGTGAAAAATGACCCAAAATTGAAAAGCGTTTAAACACTTTTTACTCAAATCGGACTGAGAATAGCACAAACATACAATTTTCAATGTATTTCTTGTATATTTCTTAGTTATATCTTATTTATATTTCTGTTTTAAGTGCTCGTGTTGATCTATGTGAAAAATTGAAATTTTATGTTTTAGCCTTATAAACCTCAGTGGAGTTCCTTTAATACAGTAAAAACTCTGAAAACCGGACCCTGTCCGGACTTGACCAAAAGTCCGGTTTTCAGAGGATTCCGGTTTTCAGAGGTTTTATACATTTATTGATAATTATGATATGTTTGAACAATGACTTTTCAACCCTTTTGTCTAAGTCATATTTTAGTTTCTTTTTAATATAAATGTCTTAAGTAATTTTATTATGCAAATCCATGAATATAATTCATGGACTATAATTCAGAAAATCAGAAATTAAAACACCACATTGTCTGAAATATATCATAATATCTTTTTCATTAGCTTTAAAATATGTAATTAATGGAATTTAGTATTACTTTTTTGCATATAATTGATATCAAAACAAAGATAAATTCAAGATCAAAATTTAAAAGAAAACAGGAACCATTAAAAAAAATGTTTCCCAACTCTTTTAGACATTTTATATTCAAAGAAAACATGACACATTAAAATCATTTTTGAAAAATCATATCTATACGAGGAAAGACACAAATATGATGAAAGAGCTCTAATTTAATTGGCAATAACAAATTAACAATTACACTGATAAGTGTTTTCACACCTGCATAGATAAAAGGAGATGACCATAACCTAGTAATTGAACATGTCACCTGTTGAGATTATGATTAGATCTATATTAAAGTACACAGAAAGTTGACACTTTAAATTGCTGTCTGGTTTAGAAACCATAGAAAATTTCTTTAGAAACCATAGAAAATCGTCCGGTTTTCGGAATTCAGAGGTTCCGGTATTCAGAGGATTTTTTTTCAATGAACATATAGGGAAAAAATACCGGACTTTTAAAATGGTCCGGTTTTCAGAGGATTCCGGTTTTCAGAGGGTCCGGTTTTCAGAGTTTTTCCTGTATTAATGAAATTTATGTTTGAATTTGAAATTGTAATGTGTCAAGAAGTTAATAGTGTGATTTGGTGTTACTTCAAATGTAACCTGCCTTTGCAGATAGTTGTGGCAAGGTCAAGTGGTTAACATGCTGGACTAGTAAGCTAGCCACATGGGTTCAAACCCCTTCAGGGGTAAGTTGTTGTTTCCTTGAACAAGAAACTTTACACTCATTGCTCAATACTAGTTGGTTTCTGGAATGGATTTGAAAGTGTGTCTATAAGCTTTAAATTAAGCTTCCTACGCAATCAAACTAAAATAAATTCCGTATATAAAATAAACCAGAATTATGATTTTGTTACAATAATTTTGCAAATTACCCTGTAATAGTATGTGTAATATTTCTACATAATTTGATGCATTCTGATGACTTGGTTGTTTAAAATTCTGCAAGATATCTCTTGCTTCTGGGGACTTTGAATTATTCTGTGTGATTCTTAAACGGAATTATCTTATGAAATTTTCTGATAAAATTTATCAAAAGTCAAACTATATTTGTGCCTCCGTGGTCGAGGGGTTAGAGTTGATGACTTCTAATCCAGTTACCTCTCTGGCATGGGTTTGATCCCCAGGAGATGCTTTGGTAGTTTAGCTTGGAGGAAGGTAGTCTAGTACTGGTGTAACTCTCCAGGAATGATGATTAGGAAACTATCCGCCTATATGACTGAAATACTGTAAAGGCGTAAAATGAAACAAACAACAAAACTAAATCCATTATTGTATGGTTGATTCCTGAAAAAGTTGTAACATAAAATGTCTTTGTTATTTAATACATGAATAATGAGCATAAACAGAATAATGGCGGCATGGCCGAGTGGTTTACACTTCAAACTAGTAATATAATGATCGCTAGTCGCATGAGTTCAAACTCTTGTCAGGGGCAAGTCGTTGTTTCCTTGAGCAAGAAACTTGCACACACACATTGCTCAGTACTCAGGTTTGTTCCAGGAATGGATTCGAAAGTGTGTCTATAAGCTTATAGCTTTCTACACAATCAAACTAAAATAAATTCTGTATAAACCAAACAGAATAAAATGTTCTGGTACATTAAAATATTATTTTGCTATTTTAAGAAGGGGTTTATCTGTTTAGCAATGATTTTCTGCATGCACCATTAATTTTGCTTTTAAGGCAATATTTTAATTACCATATTTATTTCATACAAGCATTTTGGAAGTATACTTTTTTTTAAAATTCAAACAATAATTTTTCCATCTGTTATATACATGTAGCTTTATACACTTTAAAACTTGTCTGCAAAAATGTTAACTTGTGTGTCTGCAAAAAATGTACGTACAGTCAGGAGTAAAGATAAGGTACAGTTTGATGAACTTGAAAAAGATTTTTCATATACAGTGTAAATGGCCCTTTGTACTTTGTAGTGGAATAACATCTTTAAAGACCTTTTTGGAAGTTTTCATATAGACATATCGGCAAAATTAAAACTGTTCAATAGACTTTATTAAAATTTGGCATGTTGTTAAAATATGAAAATGGTAACATTTTGACCAAAAAAAAAAAGGGGGGGGGGGGGGGGTCACTGTCCTCTTTGTTGAATGATCAAATCAAGGGCAGATAATTCACAATAAAGGTACTCAAAACCTATTTTATTGCCTATTTTATATAGTTTACTTCCATTTGAGTCAATGTGCATAATTTCAATAAATGATAAAGAGTAAGTAGATTGGCTTTTTTCCCCCCTTCTTTTCTAAACCTGACTTTTTTTACTTAAAAAATGGCCTTTTTTTTAAAAAGAAATTTATTACCTTTATTCAAACTAAAAAAATAACAGAAAAATAAATTTATTACCTTTATTCAAACTAAACAAATAACAGAAATAAGATGGAATTACCTGTAATTAAATTAAAAAGAAAAACATCCAGAAGTAAAAACAAGATTATACAGACATGTAAGTTATGTGCCCTTAAAATGACCTCAAATAAGTAAAAAAAAATCTGATTCAAGGGCAGATAACTCAGAAGTGACCCTCAAATTTGTTTCACTTTGACAGAAAAGTTTCATTACAAGGTTATTTCCTTTTATAATCATTTTATTAGCTCGACTATACGAAGTATATGGAGAGCTGTCCTACTCGCCCCGGCGTCGGCGTCCGCGTCCGCGTCCAGATTTTAGATTAAAGTTTTGGTGCAGTAAAATATTTTTCACTATAACTTTGTCATTTCTTAAGGTATCAACTTCAAACTTCAAATATATGTTCCTTATCATCCACCACATCTTATGTGACAAGGTTCATAACTCTAGCACCAATATTTTCAGATTTATCTCCCCTTGAACTTAGAATTTTTCTTAAAAAATACTATTTTTTACTGTTACTTCTTTATTTCTTAAGGGATCAACCTCATACTTCAAATGTATGTACATTATCATCATCCCCATCTTATGTGACAAGGTTCATAACTCTAGCACCAATATTTTCAGATTTATCTCCCCTTGAACTTAGAATTTTCCTAAAAAAATGCTATTTCTTACTGTTTCTTCTTTATTTCTTAAGGGATCAACCTCATACTTCAAATATATTTACGCTATCATCCTCCCCATCTTATGTGGCAAGGTTCATAACTCTAGCACCAATATTTTCAGATTTATCTCCCTTTGAACTTAGAATTTTCCATAAAATTTTTTTTTTTTTTACTGTTACTTATTTATTTCTAAAGGGATCAACTTCATACTTCAAATATATTTACGTTATCATCATCCACATCTTATGTGACAAGGTTCATAACTCTAGCACCAATATTGCAAGAATTATCTCCCCATAAACTTAGATTTTTTTACTAGAAAAATGTTATTTTTTATTATAACTTTTTTATTTTTAAAGGTATCTACCTCAAACTTCAAATACTTATTCCTAATCATCAAATACATTTTATGTGACAATGTTGAAGCAATATTAACAGATTTATCTCTCTTTGAACTTAGGATTTTCTTTAAGAAATATTATAACTTCTTTACTTTTTAAGGTATCTACTTCAAACTTCAAATATATATTTCTTTTCATTACACAAATGTTGTGTGACAAGGTCCATAACTCTAGCATGACTATTTCTAGAATTATTCCCCTTGATCTTGGAATTAATGTTAACAAATGTTATTTTTTTACTATAACTTAATACATAATTATACATAATTGATTTTTCTTTCATAGTTTTGTCCTCTTTACTGCGTCCAGTATTTTATTAGTCGAGCTTCGCTGTCTCCTGTGACAGCTCTTGTTTTATAAACTTTTCTATCGATTTGGTTGAAGTTTATGAGGTTCATCATACCTAGCTTTAAATGACTTATGGAATTCCCTCTAATTTCCTGTCTATGTACATGTACATATCTAACATTAAGGTTGACTCTGCCATTTCCTATACCTATACAAACCTAAATAAATATTTAGCTTACCTGTATGCCATTTTCTGCACTAGCAATATCTTAAACTTTAAAGTTGTATTCATGCCATTTCCTGCACTGTATGATTTTTAACACATTTCCTACACATTTTCATATCTCAAAGTAAGATTTAGATTGACTTGATGCCATTTTTTGTACATGTCTCTTTTTAACATTTATACTCAGGACTCACGCAACTGGGCGATTTGGGCGACTTAGTGGCCTTAAGTTTCTGAACTTTGCTGAGTTTGAACATAAAAGCGAAATCGTCTTCGCAGCACTTTTTTACTTACTGCATTTCACACAGGGCATGTCAATAAAATTAA